AAAAAATTTACAATGATTTGGACACATCTATGCGCATATTTATTTGTTTTTCCTAAAGCTAATTAAAGAGCTTAATGTCCCTTCATGCGGCCTTACCGGGGCCAAGGATCTGGCCCATTGTCTCTGCCTGCTCACCTCCTACAATGGTCACTTCCAGAGTGTACCAGGGATGTATACTCCTGCTTTCTGGCCTTGGACCAGCCACTTCCCCTCCCAGAGCCTTGCTCTCCACAGGTATAGTTGGGCTAACAGCTGACCCTGCCCTGGGCCCAGGGAGAGGTGAGTGCGCGGGACACTCTGGGGAGAGGTGAAGCTCAGGACGATGGTTATTAGTTCTCTCCCTGGTTCCCTAATGCAGCCCGTTGCTGAGCAGCCAGCAAAGAAGAAAGAAAGCAGAGGCAGGTGCTGGGAATGGAGTCGCCTCTCTCCTCCCGTCTGCAACACCTGCCCTGGAAAGGGGGGTCAGAGCATGTTCTCTAGGGCCAGAGAATGGCAGTGAATCTGGGAGCAAGCAGATGGGGAAAGGGGGTCAGAGCCTTAGAGGGTCAGTGTGGCGTGGGGAAGGCAGTGGGGGGCGGGAGTCCAGGCTGAGTTGGTGATGGAGGGAACCTTGTACCATCTGTGTCATGGGCACTTCCCCAGTGTGCTGTGGATTTCCCGCTCTCTTCTCACTCACTCTGCTCTTCCTTGGCCTTTCCTCGTCCTCGCTGATTGGAGTGAGCTGTCCCCTGGGTGAGGAATAGCCCTTTCACTTGGTGCCCAAAATGAAGAGAAGGAAACTAAGTTTGCTCTTAAGCAAAGCAAGCAGTCATGGGATTAAAGGGAAGGTCCTCTCATGGACTGTAGCTGGTTAAAAGACAGGAAACAAAGGGTAAGAATATATTTTCAGTTTTCACAATGAGGTAAATAGTGGGGTCCCCAAAGATCTTTACTGGGGCCTTTGCTGTTCAGGGGTAAAATGGTGAGGTGGCAAAATCTGTGGATGATACAAAATTACTCACCATAATTAAGTCCAATGTTCCCTCTAATGTTTGACAGGCCATGGATGCAAACATTTTCTTCTGTGCAAAGCAGAGTTCAAATTTGCGCGCTATGACGCAAATGCGCCCAAGCGAGTAAAATGCTTATACATTTTAAAGGTTTTAATTTGCAATTTGTGATAATAGTAGTTTTACACCATGTTATTTTATAAATGTCATTTTTAAATACTTAGAAAAAGGAAATTTAACCATTCTTCATGAAGCAGAAGTTAGTTTTAAGCATTACGCTTTAGGATCTTATTTATAGACAATCATGAGCATATATCAATCACATATTAATCATGATCATTATCAGTCCATAGGCTTCTGCCCGTTGGCGTCCACTTTCACTTTTCATTCTATACACGTCTGAAAAGATTTTGATAAACATATAATAAAGACAATTTAATAAGTATGCCATTATGTCAATTTATATGGGTTTTCAGATAGAGACATCATAAGTAAAAAAAGAAAAACAAGAGTTTGTGTTTTAAATTTAAAATTTTCCTAAAAAATATCAATACATGATTATCAGCCAAGAATAAGATATGTGATTACAAATTCATTTTAATTTCCTTATTGGTCGAAATGTCAAAGACTGCTAAACTAAACCTTACTGTTTTTCCCTGCGATCTTTTTTATTTGCCCATTCAATATAAACTCTGTCCAGATCTAACAGTCCTCCATCAAGCTGGTAACTCTTAATACACATCAGCATGTCCAAATGATCTACTTGTAAATGATTCCGTAGTTTATTTTTTTGAGTGTTCATTAAGCTAAAGCTACGCTCACAGTCTGCACTTGATGCTAGGAATGTTCCTCCAATATCCATCAGTTTGCAAGATCGTGAAACTGTTCATTCTGGTGAGCAAATGTCACCATATCCAGGAAACTTAAAACCAATTGGCTTTTTATTCTTTCGGCTACTGCAAACTTGAAGTCATTGTACTGATTGATTATAACAATCTCTTCAGCAAGACAGTCTTTGTATTTTTAATTTAGGGATTTGATCTGATGAAGTCACACTTAACTGATGAAGTCACACTGATGAAGTCAAAATTGAAGTCACACTTAACTATTGCTGCACAATCAAAAGTGGACCACTCCTGGACTTCATCCTCTGGAGCTCATATCTAAGAGAGCCTTAACTTTGTCACTCCATAAGACTGAATCTCCAAGGTACTGTCTTCTGATCTTGTTCAATTTACCTCAGGCAAGGTGAAATGCTTCAAGAGGTGTAAGGCCCCGTTTCTGGACCAGCGTGGATAGTGAAGCCAGCTGCGACAAAACATCATTCAAAACTTCTAATGTTATTCGGTATTCCATGGTATTCAGTTCTTTGTGGCACTATTTAGATGTTCCTCCGGGAACTGCAGTGCCCATAGGACAGAAGAGCGGATTCCGTGAGGATCCTCCTGTACTCAGGGTCTCCCTACAAAGGAGACAGGGACTTTTCTCAGAGGCCCATGTCTTGGATCTCACAGGGGTTTCAGTCTCTCAATCCCCAGCCAGGCCTGGTGCCCACTGTTAGTGCTTAACAGAACCATGCAGAGCTCTGGCTTAAGTCCCAGCTCTTTCCCTCTGTCCCTCCAAAGGCGGAAGGGTCCCAACATTGCACTACACTGACAGCTCTGGCAAAGTCTGGCCCACTGGGTCCCAGCTGGGAGGAGACAATGGAAACGTGGCTCTTCCAGTCTTTCCTTCACAGCCCTCCCATGGGGTTAAGGGGAAACTCCCCACAGACCCTGCCATTGTGCTCACCTCCAAAAGATGCTGCAGCTTGTCTATGGTGGGGGTTTCCGTCAGCATGATGTCCAGTAGAGTCTGCAAGAGAAGGGAGCACCCATCAGTCATGGGATCTGGGGCTACACCGGTCAAGGGATGATTAGGAGGGTTCTCTGGAGAGCCCTGGCAAGACCCCAAAGACACATCCTGGCCTCTCCCATTCACATCACCCCAGGGGCACTTAGCAAATGTTCATGGCTGGATTCCAGCTGGCTCTTCAATCCTGGCCCTTAGCAGTTCTCTGTACAGGGCCTGGTACCCAGCAGGGTATGGAACAGCCAAACTGCAATGGATGGGAGCCAGGCATCTGGGCAGAGTCCAGGCAGCAATGGACAGAATGAGGAGGGAAGGAGAGAATCTGCCAAGGACGGGTAACACTATCCCCTCTGGAGGGAAGGGCCCTCCCTGCCTTTTTGTTAACCCTCGGCCCTGTTCCCAGCTCTGTTCACCCCTCCCCTATTCTCAGCAGCTCCATCAAATCAAGGGAGCAGGGACCACAGGCCGCTCCTGCTGCGGGGACAGAGAAGTGGGATGGTGACCTACCCGGAAATGAGCGGTGTCCTTCCCTGGGCGCATGGTAAAAACGCTGTACAGGATAGTTCGCAGGAGGCCTGATTCCAGTTCCAGAGGTGCCTTCAGTTTGCTGGCAGGAGAGAGGAGCCTGTATTAGATTTTGCAGCACCAGAGTGACGCTGGCACCACCATGGACATGAAACATCAGGGCCAGCACAGGCCAGCAAAAACGGAAACGGACGTGCCAAGGAGCACAGTGACCTGGCTGAAGTCACAGAGCCAGTCAGTGGCAGGGCTGGAATAGGGCCCATTCCCCTGATGTCACCACTGGAGCCTGCCGCCCCTGTTATATGCTCCCCGGTGATCCTCTCCCTAAGGCCACTGTAACAATTCTGGAGTGAAATCAACCACCCAGCCAGGAAAGAGTGAACGTTCCCCACTCCTCAGCCAGAGGATGCAAACAGCCACAATTGGGGGTGACCTAGGCAGGGGAGAATCTGTGACTCCCAGCTCTGGGGCTGAAAAGCACCTGAGTTAGGGCAGCTGAATGGGAGTGTCCTGGTACCTAAGGTGCCAAACCGCGGCCATAGAGCTGGAGAGGATGGAGCTTGGCTCAGACCCCAGGGCAAGGTCTTAAATCAGATCCTGGGAGACCCAAAGGAGACAAAACAGTGGGTGAGATTCAGGCCCTGCTGACCCACAGGCACTTCCACAGAGGAGCCCAAACTGCGCTGCAAACACAACCAGCATAACCTTCCACCTCACCCAGCTGGGCCACCCCATTCCTCCCACCCGTCAAACTTAGTCCCTCTCCCTCTCCAGCTGGGACCACCCAATTCCTCCCTCCCCTCAGCCTCAGCTGCCCCCCGGGCCCTATAATTCCCCCACTGCCAGCTCTGGATCAGTGCCAGAATTTCCCCTTTCCCTGTCCCCAGTTGTCAGCCCCAGGAATCCCTGTCCTCTGCTGTCCCCTCCAGCCCCACCATCTTCTGCCACTGGCGCAGGGGAGGCCTCTCTTCGTCCCTGTCTAGCTCCCTCCCCCCCAGGGGCTGGGCACGGGGTCTCACTCACTGCAATGCTCTCCACTTGGGCCACTTTGGAGCGGTGCGGCTCCAGGGTGTCCTGCCCCTGCTTTTGTGTGGAGAAGCACAGAGTGGGGATAGCGTGCAGGAAGTGGAGCTCATAGACTCATAGACTTTAAGGTCAGAAGGGACCATTATGATCATCTGGTCTGACCCCC